ATAGTCATATGCATGCATGCATACATGCATGCACGCACGCACACGCACAGACGCACAGTGCCTGGATGGATATTTAACAACAAACTATGGATATATCGTTTAAGACACAACATATACAGGGTGTTTGTAAAGTCTCACAACACAAAACAAATTTTAGAAACAAAGTACATGACGTTATCAAGAAAATTTACCCCATTGTCAATCGTGAAGCGAAATGAAGTAAATGAACGTCTTCTGCTTGATTAATTCTGTGCACCTGGCTTAGAATGATGTTTTTAGCGATAGAAAGTTTTTTTTTTTTTTTTTTTGGTGAAAAAGTGTTTCGACATTTTTGTAAATTGCATAACATCGCTTAGAATTTGAGCTGATCGTTCTCCAGATCTAACTTCATTAAATTATTATGTTTGGGGTTTCTTGAAAAGAAATATTTACAAAATAATGTATACACAATTGAAGACGCGAAAGAAGCAACTGTTATTACCATTATGAGAAATGAAGCGACGTATATATAGTCATGTCTTGAATCCCATTGTCGACATTTCTAACATATGTTAAAATAAATATATCGTTGGTACATTCCAGTTTTCCACAAAACAGCGTTAGAGTAAAGCAGTCATGTAATTCGGTTTTCATGCAAACAATGTGTAGAGAAACTTTACAAACACCCTATAAAACACCAGGATGTTCATAGACGTCCAGACAAAAATTCAGTGCACGAAACATCATGTCTGAACGTGGCTACAGTAGCCAGTATTTAAAGACGGCATGCGTAAATGACGCAGCAGACTATTTCCAAACCATTTCACCATAAGTATAACCATAAGTATAACCATAAGTATAAAATAGTAATTTAACATTCTTCTGGTCCTGGTCACTGATAGCCGACTGAAGTTGTGTGCTTGTTTTCAGCTAGGTTGTGATGATGCACATTCCTCATTCCTGACCAGAAATATATGGTTTTTGTAGTGCCGCTTCCAAATAATATTTAACTGTCGATGATACACTTCTGTGCACCAGGAAAGGGCTTATATAGGTTTTAAGAATTCTCTTCCTCATCTGAATTGATGAAGACAGATAGTATAGAATATTTTGTAAGATACAGCTTGTGCTTTATCTATGATAAATTTAATCTCTTTAATCAATCTTCCACCTGATGTTATCATGGTACTCAAGTACCAGTATTATTTGCTTTAGCTATGATAAATTTAACCTCTTTAATAAATCTTCCACTGGATGTTATCATGGTACTCAAGTACCAGTATTATTTGCTTTAGCTATGATACATTTAACCTCTTTAGTAAATCTTCCAGCGGTTGTTTTCATGGTACTCAAGTACCAGTATTATTTGCTTTATCTATGATACATTTAACCTCTTTAATCAATCTTCCACCGGATGTTATCATGGTACTCAAGTACCAGTATTATTTGCTTTAGCTATGATACATTTAACCTCTTCAATAAATCTTCCATTTGATGTTATCATGGTACTCAAGTACCAGTATTATTTGCTTTAGCTATGATACATTTAACCTCTATAATAAATCTTCCACCGGATGTTATCATGGTACTCAAGTACCAGTATTATTTGCTTTAGCTATGATACATTTAACCTCTATAATAAATCTTCCACCGGATGTTATCATGGTACTCAAGTACCAGTATTATTTGCTTTAGCTATGATACATTTAACCTCTTTAATAAATCTTCCACCCGATGTTATCATGGTACTCAAGTACCAGTATTATTTGCTTTAGCTATGATACATTTAACCTCTTTAATAAATCTTCCACCCGATGTTATCATGGTACTCAAGTACCAGTATTATTTGCTTTAGCTATGATACATTTAACCTCTTTAATAAATCTTCCACCCCATGTTATCATTGTACTCAAGTACAAGTATTATTTGCTTTAGCTATGATACATTTAACCTCTTTAATAAATCTTCCACCTGATGTTATCATGGTACTCAAGTACTTGGACATATCAGCTTGCTTGAGGATTGTCCTATTTACTTTGATGTTGCTTTATGGTAGAGTAAAGGACACTCCATACGACAAACAGGCACCTGATGATAGTCCCATATTATTTAGCAGTCTATGCTTGACCCTAGTAGCATACAAATTAGCCCACAACATATAGTTGCTATGAGATTTGCCTGTGTGGGTATATAGAAGAATATGTCCTATTTTATAGAAGCAAAAGCAATTAAATTCAAAGATTTTAGAAAGACTGCGAATAAAAAAAAAAAAAAGATTATTGAAAGAAATTTTAAAAAATTAAAAAGACAATAGAAATATGTTGCCCATATTAAAATACATTATAAGCTTTTAAAAACCATATGGGAGGGCAGGTCAAGTGCAAGAGGTAGACAAGGCAACCTTACAAGTGGGACAGAAATATCAAGAGTTGGACAGAATAGTAGTCTAAGCGAGCCTACACCAAAGACAAGAGAGATAGACTGTGTTGGGGATCCACTGCAGCCAACCTTCATAGTGGAGACGGCACCTGATTGATTGATTGATTGGTTGATTGATTGACTGATACTCAATACACCCCGTGAGAGTCGCCGTGGCGTAGCGGCAAGACGCTCGCGTGCGGATCGGAAAGTCGTGGGTTCGCTGCCTGGCGGAGCCGGACTTTTTACAAAATGACACTGACTTCCTGGTCGAGGCAGCCTTGAGTGGGTACCGGGTGCAGTCCTAGGAAGTAAAGGCGGCCGGCATGATGCTGTCTACATCATCCGTCTTGTGCCGTTTGGTCTTTAAAACATAGGTGTAGCGTTATATGGCTCAATACGTCTGAAGGCTTGGAGAAGAGACCCATCGCTTCCGGTAGTGAGCATGTCGGGGGAGTGACTTCTTCTTCGATCCTTCTGTCAGAAAACTTATATCAGGAGGCCTGTACCCTTTATGAAAGCTATCGTGCAATCCATATCCTCTCGTGTACCATACAGTTTTGTCTTCAGTGTGGTTGGAACAGGCCAGATTGCGTCTCTGTTATCAGCATTCAGTTGACAGTGTTGGATGCACCTGCTCAGCATTTTCGGGTGCCACGCTGCAGGGACAGGTCTCCGTATTTCTTACACCGAAAAATTTGAACATATGTTGACGAAATCTGTTGTGCCCAGTCCTTAGTCTGAATATAATAGACTGTCCCTCTCTAGAGAGGCGATGAAGTGAGTCTTGGGGAGAAAATCTGGTGTGGGTATCCAGCCACCTTTCTTGGATACTAGATTGTATTAGTGTTTTCATCTCTTGGTGGGTTAAGTCGCTATTTGGTTGTACCATGTCACTGCCGCTTCTGGCCAATATGTCCGCTATTTCATTGCCTTCCAAGCCACAGTGAACTGGAATCCACTGCAGTACAGATTGTTCTACTGAAGGAGGAGTGACTAATCCGGGGCTTTTTCAGCAGTCGGAGTGCATGTGCCCGAGCAGCAAGGAACAACCCGATGACACACACAAAAAGCCAGTAAAACTGGTGTACACGCAAAACTCAGGCCCTGGCACAAAACCAAAATCCAAATGGACGAACAATCAGCTTATTACCAGAGGCAACGGGTCTATTCTTGTTTTCCCCCACAATGTTGCTCTGAAGCTCACATGCAAACATCATGTACCAAGTCTTGACGAACCTTCAGCCCTCCACTCATAGTCGTACTTCAGTTCCCCTCTTCTCTACTTCAGTTCCCCTCTTCTCTACTTCAGTTCCTCTCTTCTCTACTTCAGTTCCCCTCTTCTCTACTTCAGTCCCCCTCTTCTCCTGTCATGCCTCCTAACCAATGTGGAATGTCAACGTCTGATATGTGGGTGATCAGTCTTAAGACCACACACCAGCCCTCATCCTTGACCTTGGTTGCCATGGCAGACGGAGAACCGCGAGGGCAGGAATCTATAGGCAAGACACATGATGATGATGAAATAAAGAAAACGATGATGCTGTTAATGAGCATTGATATGAACCAGTCAACAATATTTCAGACACTCTTTAATGTTATCTCTGGAAAATTAATGCCAGCAATGGAAGAAAATATATTTCTATCAAAACTACAATTACAAAGCAAAAAAAAACCATAAAGCAGCAATGTGTTTTTTTTCCTTTAAGGGAAAGAAACATCGAGTGTTCTGCCTATGTAAAATATTATCGTAAAATGAATTCTCTTCTGGTCAGTCAAAAGTCATAGTCACTATCTTTTGCACTATCTTTTGCACCACTTGTTACTATTCGTTTCTGTTATGTACAATTTGGTTTCAATATCATGGATACGATGCGGCGTCCGTGGCTTAGGCGATGGTATGGGGCGCCGCAGGTCGACCCAGCCTAAAATGGGTAACATGGTGTATGTTCCCGGGGAAGTAAAGACGGCCGGCGTATTGCTGACCACATTACTACGCACATAGTGCCGATTGGTGTGTAAAAGAAATTATGGGTGCTTTTCCGATATACCCGATGCCCCTAAGGCGTGAAAAGGGATCTTTACTTTACTGACTTACGTATCACGGATACAGTCAAGTTTGCTCTCTTTCAGGGTTTTCCCAGTGAATTATACCGACACTGTATGCAGTAGGTTGAACGTGATCGATTTTTGTTGTTATGTTATGTTATGTTTCATAAAGGGATGGATGAATCAGTGTCTGTTTGCTGATCCCCTGTTGACATCTCACTCGGCAGATGCGCTGTACAACATTATACTGTGTGACGTGTGCACATCTCCCTCGGCAGATGCGCTGTACAAAATTATACTCTGTGACGTGTGCTCATCTCCCTCGGCAGATGCGCGGTACAACATTATACTCTGTGACGTGTAAAATTGGTTCAAACATCGATTATATTACTTGCAATGCTAACTGAAAAAGAAAACATTATTCTAGTGCAATTATACAATTAGAAGCGCAATTCAGACTATACGTGTGCATGAAAGAAAGCTTGTACATTTTATTTCTACAGTATCTGAGGTCGCATTTGCCGCAACAAGCCAGTGATAAACATGATTGCTGTCTAGCTGTTGAACTGACAGTGGATGTGGTTCCTCTCGTCAATACCTCTGCCTCCCAGGTTTCTGTGAAAGAGACAGAGACAGCGAATAAAAAAGTAAAATGCAGTGTATCCTATGGTGGATAGGTGCTTTGCTAGAAAAAAACATCGTCATCTTCAAAAAGCATCCTCGAAGGGGGAGCTTTAGGTTATAATTATGACTAGGTTATGGGAGCCATTTAAAATAGCTTGAAATTGCACACCACCAAGAGCCCTGAAAAGGACTCCAACAGTGCTGATGCGATCGAAGTACACAGACCTAGATACTGTCCCGACCGGGACAGTCGTCTTACCCCTGAGCCAATGGCAACCCGGTCGCCCATGTGAAGTGTAACCTTCAAGTTTTTAATGGATTTGTACGTCACAAATGAGGGCTTTTACAGAAAGGGCATACACAATTATACCTAGTCTCTTTTGTATCCACCCCTTCCCTCCCACCCATAAATCGTGTCGGGTATGTGTGTCATCACCAGGTGCTGTGCCGACTGGCGTTGGCTTGCACGCCTCTGCACAACCTGCGATTTCCTATAGTCTCTCTCTTTCTCTCTCTCTCTCCCTCTCTCTTTCTCTCTCTGTTTGTCTGCCTCTCTCGCTCTCTCAACAAACTGTTCCATTGATCACAGCATATGCCAGTAAGTATAATTGGGCTAGTAAATATTCTGTCTTTTCTCCTGTGCACCACGTCATGGTATTTCCGTTATACAGGACATACCGACCTTCATTCTTGATGTACCATGTCTGGATCTCGGGAACCCATTGTGAGGGAAAACAAGGAGGCGTGTCTTAACATATAATAAAGGGGATGCGACTTGAAAAAGATTGGAGACCGCTACATTCCACAGACAGACGATCATACAACTAATGGTACCGTTAGAACTGGAGCTCTACGTTGGCTGCTGTAGATGGGAACGGAGCGTGTATGGGAATGTTCTAATTGCTTCAATATCGGTTCTTAACTAAACTTATCCCTGAACTGATTGAGCTGTTGACGATTGTAACGATTTTCTCAAAAGAGAAAATAAAAATGACCTGCAAGTGTTAATGTACTCTTGATTGCGGGGTCCGTCGTCCAGATCGATAGCCAGACCATCGTAATGTTTCGACGTACAGCTGTGGCAGGCGCCTGCGAACTCGTTCACCTGTTGTGGAGATAGCATCACAGCTTGGCTAAATATGAACATAATATCACAGCTTGGCTAACTATGAACATAACATCACAGCTTGGCTAAATATGAACATAACATCACAGCTTGGCTAAATATGAACATAACATCACAGCTTGGCTAAATATGAACATAACATCACAGCTTGGCTAAATATGAACATAACATCACAGCTTGGCTAAATATGAATATAATATCACAGCTTGGCTAAATATGAACATAACATCACAGCTTGGCTAATTATGAATATAATATCACAGCTTGGCTAAATATGAACATAATATCAAAGCTTGGCTAACTATGAACATAACATCACAGCTTGGCTAAATATGAACATAACATCACAGCTTGGCTAAATATGAACATAACACCACAGCTTGGCTAAATATGAACATAACATCACAGCTTGGCTAAATATGAATATAATATCACAGCTTGGCTAAATATGAACATAACATCACAGCTTGGCTAAATATGAACATAACATCACAGCTTGGCTAAATATGAATATAATATCACAGCTTGGCTAAATATGAACATAATATCAAAGCTTGGCTAACTATAAAGAAACTATGAATCGAATCTATCACAATTTGACCAAATGTAAAGAGTGGTGTCTTCTGTCTCTGACATTAAACGACCCAGTAGTTTGAACAGTCACATTGCAAAACGCTGAATGATGTTCCCATTGGTTCGTCTAGGTCTGCTACAGTCGTGAGGATTGTCTTCACTGCACCGGGTTTCATCACGGATAGCTTAGTCTCTCTCCACCGGCTAGGCGGGGACGTCACACAAAGCACGAACAGCCGAGTTGTGGCGACGATCTTCATGGGTTCCCACAAAAATTACACCCCGTGAACCGAACGACACACCTGTGAAACGAACCCGCGACCTTCAGCCAGGAATATATTTGGACCACTTCGCAACAGAAGCCACTGTTACTTTACTAACTACCGCTACTTTAATTACTACTGTTATTTTACTTACTACTGTTACTGTACTCACTAATGTTACTTTACTCACTACCGTTACTTTACTCACTACCGTTACATTACTTGCTACTGTCACTTTACTTACTACCGGGACATTACTTCCCACTGTCACTTTTTTTACTACTGTCACTTTACTTACTACCGTCACTTCACTTACTAACTTCCCTTTACTTACTACTGTTAACAAGCGTTATGTGCTTGATGAGACGGACACCTTGAGCCTATTTGTAATAAAAAATAAACAATAACAATAAATAGTTAAAAAAGAAATTAATTTGTTGGTTGCAACGGAAAGTGTAGGCTGCCACTTTGCCGACTACTTGTGCATCCCTTGACTTTTTCACGCTAGACTTTGAGTCGTCTCACCTTGACAGAGCCTGTTGAAACCAAAGTTTGCAGGTACCTCAGGACGCTTTCAGAGATACAAACTGCCCCACCTGGAGCAGGGGAGCTCCTGCATTCTGAACAGGAATAACTGAAAATATAAACCGTAAAATACGATCACGTAAGTAACTGTAGCCATTCACAGTGAAATAAATGCATCCAGTGAAATTACTGGTGTATTTATAAACAGTTAATGACGAGGAACACTGGTGGGCATTTGTGGTAGTGAAGGAAGCAGAGGGATCAGGAACATGGACAGTCAAATTCTTGTTGTTGTTGGTGTTGTTGTTGTTGATGTTGTTCTTGTTGTTGTCGTCGTCGTAGTCGTTGATGTTGTTGTTGTTGTCATTGTTGTTGTTGATGATAATGATGTTTTTGTTGTTGTTGTCGTCGTTGGTGTTACTGTTTATGTTGTTTATGTTGTTGTTGATGTTGTTCTTGTTGTTGTTGTTGTCATTGTTGTTGATGGTAGTGTTGTTGTTGTTGTTGTTGTTCTTCTTCTTCTTCTTTTTCTTCTTCTTCTTCTTTATCTTCTTCTGCTGCTGCTGCTTCCAATGACTAGAATTATGTTCCAGCTGTGCTCCCACCGTAAGCTTCAGTAGTGTAGCGGCTAGAAGCTCGTTTGCGGATCCGAAGGTCGAGGGGTTAGAATCTGAGCGGAGCCAGACTTAGAAAAAGAAATAAGGTTGGCGTCCATGTCGACCCAGCCTTGAGTGTGTACCAGGTAAAGTCCTAGGAAGTAAAGGCAGCCGGCGTGATGCTGTCCTCATCACCCACCAAGCCTTAGTTGGTCTATAAAATATAGCTCTAGTCTTAGATGTCCAGTACGATTGAAGGCCTTGAAAAGAGGGTCCTGAAATGTTTCTTTGAAAAAATTTTTTTTTGATCAGAAGGCGATACAGTAATTACACAGCCATTGCTATCAACAACAACAACAAAATTAGCAACAACAGCAACAACAACAACAACAAAAATGACCACAACAACAAAATTAGCAACAACAACAACATTAACTACCGTTACCTCGACCTAGCAGCCTTCCTGCCATCGCACATGTCCCTCAAGTTGTTGCGAGCGAAGGCGTTGTCGCTCCTCCCGGATGCATGAGCGGTGGCCAGTACCAGCCTAGAGCCGTAATTGTTTAGCAGGTCGCAGGCTAGTTGTCTCTGAACACTACTACAGGATCCGCCTCCTGCCGCCGACGCTACAAGCATCCATTTGTATGAAAGTTGTTAGTAATTCATCTTGTCTGTCAATAGTCAATAATGCTCTCATGTTGTTGTTGTTGTTGTAAGTGGTGGTTTGGTTTTTGTTGTTGTTAGGGTGGCGTGGAGGAAAGACGCTCGACTGCTTGCCTGAAAGTGATAAGTTCGAATCCAGATAGAGTTGGATTTTGTATTTTAAAAAAAAAGACACTGGTTGCTAAGTTAAACTGGCCTAACATGGCCACCAGAAAAGGTACTGAGAAATAAAGGCGGCTGGCTTGATGTTGATCAGATCACCCATCGTGTGCCGTTAAGTCTACAGTTAGCATCATATGTCCGATATACCACAGATGTTAAAAGGGTCCTCTACTGTTATTAACAGAACAGCAGTAACAGCAGCAGCAGTAACAGCAGCAGCAGTAACAGTAGTAGCAGGATTACTAGTAGTAGTAGCAATAATACTGGTAGTAGTAATGGTGGAAATAGTAGTGGCTATAGTAGTATTATTAGTAATGATAGTAGTAGCAGAAGTGGCGGTAGTAGTTTTAGTAGTAGTAATAGCAGTATTAGTAGTAGTAGTAGTAGTAGTAGTAGTAGTAGTAGTAGTAGTAGTAGTAGTAGTAGTAGTAGTAGTAGTAGTAGTAGTAGTAGTAGTAGTAGTAGTGGCGGTAGTAGTTTTAGTAGTAATAATAGCAGTATTAGTAGTAGTAGTCGTAGTAGCAGTATTAGTAGTAGTAGTAGCAGTAGCAGTAGTGGCGGTAGTAGTTTTAGTAGTAGTAGTAGTAGTAGTAGTAGTAGTAGTAGTAGTAGCAGCAGCAGCAGTAGTAGTATTAGTAGTAGTAGTAGTAGTAGCAGCAGCAGTAGCAGTAGTAGTAGTAGTAGCAGTAGCAGTAGTAGTAGTTGTAGTAGTAGTAGTAGTAGCAGTAGCAGTAGTAGTAGTAGTAGTAGTAGTAGTAGTAGTAGTAGTAGTAGTAGTAGTAGTAGTAGTAGTAGTAGTAGTAGTAGTAAAAATGGTGATAGTAGTAGTGGTAGTAGTAGCAGTAGTAAAAAGGGTAGTTGTAGCAGTAGTAATGGTGGTGGTGGTAGTATAGAAGTTATGCTAGTAGCAGTAGTAATGGTAACACAATTTTAGCTGTAGTAGTATTAGCAATAGTAGTAATGGTGGTAGTAATAGTATTGGCGTGCCTATCATTCTTCTCAGAAATATCAATCCGCAACATCTTTGCAATGGTACCAGGCTTTCAGTGAAAAAGATTATGCCGAATATCATCGAAGGTACAATTTTAAATATTAAGGAATATTAAGGGCCAGGATATACTATTGCCACGCATCCCAATAATTCCAACAGACAGGCCATTCCAATTCAGACGCTTGCAGTTTCCGGTCAGACTCGCCTTTGCAATGACCATCAACAAATCACAGGGACAATCACTACACGTGTGTGGACTACAGTTGGAACATCCATGCTTTTCACATGGACAGCCATATGTGGCCTGTTCACGCGTCGGAAAACCTTCTGATTTATTCGTGTACGCACCAGGCGGAAAAACTAAGACCATTGTATACCCCAAAACACTTCAGTAAATAATTACAATAACATTTTAAATTGTTTTTTTTTTTTTTTTTTTTTTCCTCATAAGGATATGAAAACAGCACAATGATCCAAAATAATTACTACATATTGTTATATCGACTTTCCTATTAATTGAATTTCTATTGGAGGCGTAGCAACGCGCGCTGGGTACAGTTTACCATAGCGTTCATTTCGTAATTATGGTGTATTTTTCCTGTTTTCGTTGCTTTTCACTTGGGTAATTTTTTCAACTACTTCGATGAGTGAAAAAGTAGTCGGTGAATTGGGGGAGGGCGATAGGGGTTACATAAACTATTAACTGAGATAGATCTAAGTCTCAGTAGCTGCCTTACCCATTCAGAGTAGCAGTAGTAGTTGTTGTTGTTGTTGAGCGGTTGCACCGTAGGGCTGTCAAGCCGGAGCCCAGGGTTTGACCGCCGGAAAGGTGATGCCGTTTGGGAAAGATACAAAGACTACAGGAGTGAAGACATCCTACATTGCTGGCGTGAGACAAAGCCAGATTTCTCTTTTCTTTCTTTTCAATTTAGCCAAACTATGCCACAGCAACGCATGGCCGGGTACAACTAGTAAATAATGAAAGTGAAAGTGACTGCGGCGGTTAGAGCCGTTACATTTATGCCTCGCCCCTGATATAACGTCGTCTCAGCATCAATTGTGTAACTGTTGCGCCAACGCTTCTGCTTGAAGCGCAACAATATTGCCCCCCCCCCCCCCCCCCCCCAAAAAAAAAAAAAAAACCAACACAAATTTCAGCCATTACCAACTTTGTTAGATGTAAATATACTGTTAGTGAGAGGCTTCTACTTACAGCATGAGGCCGATGAGGACTTGGTCAAGTATAGTCCAGCCACCCACAATGTCTGTCAGATAGAAGGTTTGAACGTTTTTGCAAAATTCAAGAAGCAAATATGCAGTTGGATAAACTGATGAATGTTGAGATCATGATGATGGTGGTATCGATGGTGGTGGTGATCATGATAAGTGTAGGTAATAGTGATGACATTATGATAGTATCCGTGGTGGTGGTGATTATGTTATTGATGATGACGGTAAGGATGATGATGATAGTTGTTGTAGTGTTGTTTATGATGACGATGATGGCGTTGCACCAATCGCTGGACTCACCTGTCCACTGTAGGTCACCTGATACCACTTGTTGCCGTCGGATGTGCTGGAAGGTCCGCTGATTGTGGCACACTGTCCAGCCCTGATGGTCAGGAGCACGGAGCCCGAGAGTCCAGCTGTAGAGAGATCATCTTTGTTTATTCCTGTCAAAGGTGGAATGCAGTCTGCAGTAGTTGCACTTACAGAAGAAGAAGAAGACGAAGAAGAAGAAGAAGAAGAAGAAGAAGAAGAAGAAAAAGAAGAAGAAGAAGACGAAGACGAAGAAGAAGAAGAAAAATAAGAAAAAGAAAAAGAAAAAGAAAAAGAAGAAGAAGAAGAAGAAGAAGAAGAAGAAGAAGAAGAAGAAGAAAAAAAAAGAAAAAGAAAAAGAAAAAGAAGAGAAAAAGAAGAAGAAAAAGAAAAAGAAAAAAAAGAAAAAGAAAAAGAAGAAGAAAAAGAAGAAGGAGAAGGAGAAGGAGAAGAAGAAGAAGAGGAAGAGGAAGAGGAAGAGGAAGAAGAAGAAGAAGAAGAAGAAGAAGAAGAAGAAGAAGAAGAAGAAGAAGAAGAAGAAGAAGAAGAAGAAGAAGAAGAAGAAGAAGAAGAAAAAGAAAAAGAAGAAAAAGAAGAGAGAAGAAGAAGAAGAGAGAAGAAGAAGACGAGAGAAGAAGAAGAGAGAAGAAGAAGAAGAAGAAGAAGAAGAAGAAGAAGAAGAAGAGAAGGAAGAAAAGGGAGAAGAAGCAGATTTGACAATAACAAACGTAATACCATAATCAACGACATGACAGTTCAGCTCAGTCCTACAGTGGATTGGAGCTAACTTCATTATCATCACTTATTAGTAAAGTAAGTAAAGATCCCTTTTCACGTCATTAGGCGCATCGGGCATATGGGAAGAGCACCAATATTTTAACAGACCAATGGGCGCTGGGTGGCTATTGTAGTGAACATTTCGCTGACTGTGTTTACATCCCCAAGACATACTTCCTGGTACCCAGTTTGGGCTGGGTCGACCTGCGTCGTTG